ATAAGATAAAATGGACCCCATGCTCATAATTTTGATCGTGTATTCGATTTTCTTGGTATTCTTTGGGATTTGGAGTTTTATCGAAATGGCGAAAGATAAGAGAGCAGCGGTCAATTCCGATTGGCGAACTTCGGAGTGTAAATTGCACACTTTGGAACTTCTCGGAGGATGGTTTGGATCCCTCGTGGCGCAAGTTTGTTTCAAACACAAGGTTAAGAAATGTTCTTATCAGGTTAAATTCTGGCTTATCGTAATGGCTCATGTGGTCGGGAATTTTTATGTGTTTGGGAAGAGAGAGGAAATTAGGAGTTATATTACTAATTGATAATAAAAGAATTAAATTGAGTTTTTTTCAATTGTTTAATTAAAATTTAAATACAGTGTCGGACAGATGTCTACGTCCACATAGTCGCGTCAATTTCATTTCCAAATTGTCACTGAACTACTGAACCAATTTTCATCATTGATATATCAAATTCTCACAAATTTAACGTAATTTCATAGCACATTATTAGTTTTCCGCTAAAAAATTTATTTTAGGCCAGAGATGTATTTTAATTCAAAATGAAAACAATTGGATGGACAAAAGTCAACGTCCAGTCAGAGAAAACATACAAAAAAAACTGTAATTTATAAGGAATGTTATAACAATTAATTTTTAATATTTGGTTGGGCCTCCGTTCGCTTTAAGGACGGATTCAAGGCGTCGAGTCATAGAGTTTACCAAATTCTTGGTCACATCTTCAGAAATGGTTTCCCAAACTTCAAGAATTCTGGATTTTAGGCCCGGAATTCCTGAAAAAGATTGTTTTCTTATTTCTCTTTCAATGTGGTCCCACAGATGCTCAATGGGATTCAAGTCTGGAGATTGGGGAGGCCATTCTAGCTTCGAAATTTTTTTTTCTTGAAGTATTCCATGGTGGACTTGGCAGAGTGTTTCGGATCGTTGTCTTGTTGGAAGACAAATCGTCGTCCAAGTCCAAGTTTTCGAACAGATTCCTGGATATTACGGTCAAGTATTCCCTGGTACTTTTATTGGTCCATAATTCCGTCAACAAATTCCATTTTTCCTGCCCCACTTGAAGCCATGCATCCCCACACCATTACCGACCCGCCGCCGTGCTTAACTGTGGGGTTGAGATTTTTTGGATTCAATGCTTCATTTGGATATCTCCACACTCTACGACGCACATCTGACCCACAGACATTGAACTTTGACTCGTCAGTCCATAAAATACTGTCCCAGAATGTTTGTGGCTTGGAAATGTGGTCTCTGGCAAACTTCACTCGTTTGGTTGCATTCCTCGGTACAATAAGAGGCTTCCGGACTGCTCTGTGGGATTTCAAATTTCCCTTGTTCAGTGTTCTTTGGATGGTCATAGGACTAACTTGTTTGTCGAACATCTCCTTGATCTCGGTAGATAGCTTTGGAGCACTAAGTGAGGGTGTAACGTTGACTTTGTTGAGCACGTGGCGTACTTCTCGGTGAGCCAAAATCGGTTTTCGACCACTTCTGACCTTGTTTTGGACTGAACCATTAGCTCTAAAGTTCTTAATGATTGTCTGGATGGTTGTTCTTGCTAATTTATACTTGGTCCCTATTTGTCTCTGCGACAGCCCCCCTTTTTGTCCACCCTTCCAGTCCTGAATGACAAGATCTCGAATAGCGATAGGAATTTCCTTGCGTGTCGACGCCATCATATTTTTCTGGAAGAAAATTATTTAAAAATTAATGCGGCATATGTTATTGATAGATTTATTAAGTTACCTGATTTTATAAATTGGAGAGATTTTTGTTGTTGACAATTAAAGTAAAGTGGACGTAGACTTTTGTCCGCTCAAATTTCATCCTCTCTCGCTCTGCACTATGATTCTCAGTTTTCCCAGAATTTTCAGAAATAACTCATATGTTTTATGAAATTACGTTAAATTTGTGAGAATTAGATATATCAATGATGAAAATTGGTTCAGTAGTTCAGTGACAATTTGAAAATGAAATTGACGCGACTATGTGGACGTAGAGATCTGTCCGACACTGTACTCACTTGTAATACTGAATTATTATGTAATAAATAAATACTCTATAATTAATTTGTGCAGTTAAGTATTTTAATTAGTGAGATACGAATTTTTTCAATGTTTTTTAATAATTAATGGTACTTAATTAACACAAATGATTTTATAAAGATGATTGTTCGATATGTACAAATACTAATTATTTAAAAAACACGCAAGACATGCATAAATAGAAAATTTTTACATGTACAAATTTTACAATACAGTTGGTAAAAAAATTGTCAATTTAACACATACATTGTTTTGGTTTCACTTTTCAAAAATTTATAATTACGATAAAACTTCGAGCTCGTTAATTGAAACAGGGACACCATTTAGGAGGAAAAATTGAAAAGATAAAAAGTACAAATTTGAAACAAATGAAAAACTTCAGCGGTAATAATCATTATTCTAAAAGGGTCGTAATCGTTTTAATTATTTAGATTTTCCTTCAGGTGGTTTGGCTTTTTGGCACAAATACTTCGATATAAATAGTGAAAAAATGACTGGGGAAATTGTTTTGTAAATACAAATTTTGATAACTTTTACAATAGTACGGTCAATACGGAATTAATTAGTTTGCAAAATTGTAACCCAATAACCCTCTAATTGCACAGAAGACAAATGATAATTGATTGGTTATGATCCACATTTAAGTATGGATGATGTCTGGTATATATAGAGATATTTTATCTGTAACGTTAATGATTTTAAATTAAATTTGTAAAATTAAAATTAATGATTTTTTTAAGAATTGTAACTACTGAGACGCCGTTTTTGAGAATTGTTCAAATTTAATAATAATCTACCAAAACTAGGTATAGTTTTCCAGTTTGAATATTAATTAAACAATATAGTAGAAATAACGCATCGTTTCTTGCACTGAAAAGCAATGCAAGGTGCAAGAAAGGCAAGAAATAGGGCGTCATCTAGCGGCGCGCCATAAGCAATAGTGGCTGCAAGGAATTTCTTGCGGTTTTTTTCTTTCTGCATTCTTGCAGGTAATAATAGTTGCAAGAAACCAGTTTCTTGCGATTAATTCTTGCAGCTGGTTACTTGCACCCGAAACACTACCATGTAATATGCGAAATTCTAATTTTTGATGCTAATTATAATAAGTGTCACAATTATAAGATACCAAACGAGACTTCTATGTTGATTATAGAGTATAGATTATCATTGTGGTAACTTTATGGGCGATACGCCCGAAAAAGTTCAGTAATAAATCAAATACATACATACATACATGCATACATATATACACTACCAAGTAGAAAAGTCGCCACGAGCATCCGATGTATTATTTATATACGTGATATACTGGGGGACCTCAGACATCGCTTAAAAATTTCGCTTGCGTTAACTACGGTGCGTATGAGACAGCCAATCAAAGCGATTGATTTTAAGCGAACCCAAGTTCTTGCAAGCGACGGCTCACTGAGCCGTCGCTCTGAGCCGGGCTCAGAGTAGGGTTAAAGTCGCTTATTTCTAGGTTAGTTGATTATAAGTACGCATTCAAAATTCCCGCAGTGTGTCATGTTCCCCAGCTTAAGTAAACACAATTTTTAAGTAAATGGACTTCAGGAAGGTTTCTTTCGCTTGTTCGCTTAATCGAGCGAAATTTCTAAGCGAGCGCAGTAAGTGAAATTTTTTAGCGATGTCTGAGGTTCCCCACTATATAATATTCAAGTTTGGTCATATCATGTTTTCTAACTATTTGCATTCAACAAATTAATAAAAAGGTCCAAGTGCCTTGAAATTTACATTAAATTTTTGTGACGAGTAATTTTGATGTCACAGTTCAGCTTCACTTTCATACAATCAAATACATATATAGATAAAATAATACTGGTAATCTCTATTTTGAAACCTATAAATAACGCGTAATTAATCTCAAATTCTTAATAAATCTCTAAATTGGCTTCGAATTGGTAAAAATGATTTTTTAATTTTTGAAAAAACATTTTTAAAGTATTACGAGTATTTGCGATCTTTAAGATCCCTGGGAGAGAGAAGATAAACATAATTAGAAAGGAAATTTAATTTCCTTGAAAGAAATTTAATTTTTTTAAAGTTTTCGATTCTCGTCTCAAAAGACTCATTCTGCCCTTCTATCATCCCAACCATCAAGTTTGAATAAGACTTCTGGATTTGGAAAAAAATCCATGAAGCATTTCGACGTCATTTTATAAATGGAAGGACGAGTTATTTACATATGTTTAGGCAAAGATAAGTTGATTAATTTATAGAGTCTGTCAACGGTGCTCTGAATTTCAGAGTCTGAAATCGGCAATTTATTCCTAAAGTAGGTCCTACGGTAAGGGATAAATTTGTCCTAATTGGTAAAAAGTGGAGCGATTAGATCAATTTGGGAAATAATTTGCGACAAGCGTGTTGCCAATTAGGTTGGCGAATAAGTGGCGTCAGGAATTCCTTTGGGAGCAGAGATCATACCAATTTGGCAAGTGGGATACATCTTGTAAAATTTAATTAGGGAAGTTTCATGCCTATAATTATGCAAAAGGTTGTATATTTGGAAATTTTGTGCTTGAAAACTAAATTGTTCGAACAGATCATTTTGTCCTGGGTGTAAATCTTCAAATACTTTGAGCTAACGAGTTGACGAGTTGTTTGGAAAATTCGTCATTTTCAGTAGCATGTATTAAAATATGAACAAAAAATAAGCCATGTCACATAATTCCATTTCCTTTGTTAATACAGCGTCACAATATGACATTTGCACTTAATTTAATTTATGTATGGATATCAACACAAAATAAGGACTTGCGTATTGCTTTACACCACCACACTTATTTATTTAACGTATGTATCAGTGCTGCAATGGATTGAAAAGCACAGCAGTATGCATATTGTCCCCTAAAAAATAAAAAGGGTTCGATATCTTCTCCATGAACCTTCTTCATTCCATCCCGTAATATGCATAATCTTAAACTTAAAGTTGCATACCAAACCAAACCATACGCTCACACTGTATATTATGTTGTGGCATAAACTTTAGAAGAAATTTCTACACATTTTGCGTTGGGTACAATGCTTCCAAAACTTTCCCATCTGGTCCATATCCATAGCAAGAGAATTAAACCGTTTCAGCTTTAAATTAATTATAATTAATTCGTTTCGGTAATTGCAAAAAACTTGCAGTATAAAATTTCCATTTTGGACAATTCTTAAAGAATTTTTGTTTGCAGGAGAATTAACTTTTTCAAGAAAGAAATATAAAATGGACCCCATCCCCACAATTTCGATTGTCTATTCCGTTTTCTTCGTATTCTTTGGGATTTGGAGTTTTATCGAGATGGGAAAAGATAAGAGAGCGGCGAGGATACCGGATTCAGAGATTTCCTGGCTTCTGCATCCAAACGGAATAAGAACTTCGGAGTGCAAATTGCACACTTTGGAACTTCTCGGAGGATGGTTTGGATCCCTCATGGGGCAAATTTGTTTTAACCATAAGATCAAGAAATGTTCTTATCAGGTTAAGTTCTGGATTATCGTGATTGCTCATGTGGCCGGGATTTGGTGTGTGGTTGCGAAGAGGGAGGAAATTCGGAATCATTTTAATTATTAAATATAAAAGGGTTAAATTGTTTTTTTTTTTAATTTTTAGTTTGAACCTAAACACTCAACTGTAATAAATTATTGCGTAATAATTACTCAATAATTATTTCGGGTAATTATCTTAATTAATGAGATATTAATTTTTCCACCTTTTTTTTAATTTCATGTAAAAATTGTATTTAATTAACTACTGGCCCTTGATTTATTACTAAATTATGTATTCAATAATTAATTAACGAAATAATTAATGGTACTTAATTCACTTCATTAATTTCCCAATGATAATCAAATACTTATTTGCAAATGTCAATTATTTCTAAAAAAAATACAAGACGGGAATAAATAAAAATTGTCACATATTAACAACACGGTTAAAAAAGTTGGGAAATTTAATACCTAATTTGTTTTCATTGCTCAGATTGTATTGATTAATTAAATTTGTTGTTCGTTAATAGAAGGCGTAGACCTAGTGTGTAATTTTACACAATTTATGAATTTCGGCACCTGGATCTAAAGTGTTCTGATAATCAAACGCAATTCTGAACTTTTAGTAGCATGAAATACGTAATATTATCTTGTATGTGCACATAGTGTGAAAATTCTGCTATTAAAACAATCTACGCGTGATAAAATTAATAAAAAATAAAATTCGATTTAATAAAAATTATATTAACTTGTCGCAAACAAAAACGCTTCCGTAAATTTATCGCATCTGACTTTGAATGCAGAATATTCATACATCTTCAAAACCCATTACATGGTACATTAAAGTTTTACAACTTTATTAATTAAAAAAAACTTCTTCACAATAAAGTTTTACATTTCTACCGGTTCTATTCTTAAATGGAACACTCAATCTCCACCATTAATTATTTTTGAAGATTAATTTGCAGCAGCAAATGACTTTTGCAGGTGAAAAATGTTAGTTGATTTTTAAAATTTTTTATTGTGGGTTTTAGTGGTTTTATCAACGCTGGTACAGGATCGGGCTAGTAAACTAAAGCCATCACATAGTCAATAAGCTTCCCGTGTTGTTTTTCACGCCATGGGATATGAAACTAAGAATGGCATTTTTGACTTGAATCAATTTTCCAGGAAGTGTGGTCGCAAATCTGCAAGTTTTTAAATTTTCTCGGACCTGAGTTTCCAGAACCGCACACATTTTTGAAATCCTTCAAAAAAGGATAGATCATTAGCAATGCAATATTCGCATTAAATATGAGAATCTGATGTGTTCACTTGATTCATTTTATGTATGGATATTTACCTAAAATATGGGCCAGTACATTTATTTACACCACTTCACTCAGAGAAATTGGGTGATGATTATCACCAGATTTAGACGTACATGACTCTATCGAAATGGTGATAAACTTCATCACAGATTGGTTATAGATTTGTAACCGAATGGTTACAAACATAGCCGCCTTGGCTTCAATTATAACCTATCTGGTTATTCTGATAACTAGTCGGTGGTAAATTAATTACCATAGCGGTAGAGTCATATATGTCTACCAATCTTAATAATATTTCTGTGAGTGTACATTTATTTATTTAACGTATGCATCAGTGTTACAGTGGGTCGAAAAGAACAGCAATAAACACGTTGTCCCCCTACGAAATAAAAAGGGTTCTAAATATCTTCTCCATGAAGCCTCTTCATTCCATTACGTAATCTTCAACTTAAACTTCCATCCCCATACCGCAGAGTGTATATTATTATTGTAGCATAAACTTTACAAGGAATTACCGGGAATTAAGAAAAGTCTAATTTAAAAAATCGAGCATAAATAGGTGGTAAAGGTAAATACTGGGAAAAGTCGGTGATAAGAAATAATAAAAAATGATGCATATGTAGTGCAAAGATTTGGTTCGAAATACTTAAAAGGTTCATACAGAATCCGCGCGATCCCGTGACCAACTGTGCAAAGATTCACTGAGAAGTTTTTTTTTCGTTTTTTAAATTTAAAATTTATTTAAGATGGAATATCAATCTTTGGGCGCCTGTATTGGAGAAATAGCGGCAGAATATGGGGAAAGAGAGATGCTTCGAGCATTCCATGAAGGGAAGATTGAGGACGGCATCCCCGCCGCGATAGATGAGCTCTACTACGCGAACAAAACCGAGTGGGAGGAGACGAAACAAGCCTACTCCGAGTTACCGGACGAACTTTCCGTTAATAGGGAGGCCAACGAGGCCTGGGGCATTGTCGCGAGGGGAAAAGGGGAAAATCTACACTGCAAATAAAATTAGCACCATTTGTAGAGTCATATACGTTACGACTTTGGTAATGACGTTATACATATTGGTAGTTTTGTACTACAATTTGTTAAAAATTTAAATCGGATTTGGTGAAGATTACTACCAAATCTTTACCATATGTAGGACGCGTTTTTACCAAATTCTAGAGTCATATGCGTTACGAATTTGTGGGAAATTCTTTACCAGATTATTTGCAGTGTAGAGGTCGTGATGGACGCTGGCTTCCGGTTGGACGCCATGTTGGGGGGAGAGGACAAGGGGATGGTTTCTGCACGGTTCTGGGGCTGGTTCAAAAGGAACTGGAAAAAAATTGTGAAGGTTTTTATTATCGTGGTGCGAGGTTTTTTGAAATTATTGGCTGGGTGATTGTAAGAAATAAATTCCGAAGGATGATATCATTGCAATGAGAATAAATAATTACTTAGGAAAAAAATGACTTTTTGACCTTTCAAAAAAATTGGTTTGATACGGTTGATTTGATTTATTCAAAGATTGATCTACCAGTAGACTTTACAACCATGATTCATTCATTTCAACAAAATACTTCTCACTGAGAATTATTTTGTATACTGAGAATTTCTCAGTATACATACGTAATGTGATCTTATAATATACAAATCAATCAAATTAGTCCCTGACTGAATTATTAATTGCATATAGGGTACGGAAGTGAAAGATGAAAAAGGTATGTGTTCTTAAATTTTTCATTATGCGAAATTGATTTATTTTAAATTTGAATTTATTATGCGATATTTATGCGACCGAAGGAGTGTTGTCGGAAAGATTTGATTTCGTTGTAGTTTAGTAGATGGGTAGTCTCCTGCCAGCATTTTCGACGGACCAAAATTTATTAAAATGCCAAATTTCTAATTGATAAGGGAAGGGAAGGAAAGGAAACAATAAGAACAAAAGGTCATCAGTTTTTGCAAATTTAGTGAATAAAAGTTAGACATTGATTTAAAGATGATTTAATCCATTTGAAAGAAAGTTGTAAATCTGAAATTTTATGTATTTTGGTAAAGAGGATAAACAGGGTTTCATTTTGAAGACGGACCTTAATTGCAAATATGAATGTGTGGAAAATGTTAAATCTATATTATAATTCAGAATGTCTGTTTGTTACGAAAGTGGGTGGAGTTTGTGCGTGACGGAAGTTTGACGTGATTGGTCAAATCGGAGCGTAGCTCCACCTACTCCACCAGAAGTGCGGGGATATTGATGCGTTAAGTTGAAGCCAACCCTCCACGCAAAACATGGTTGTCCACGACCGTCGTAAGACGGGCTTACTCGCAAGTACTAAATATTGTTAACATATGGCAGGTTGCTTTATTTATTTTCAAATTGTGGCAGCTTTGAACTCAAAGCTGTTTTAATGGGTAATTAGTGTTAATTTAAGCAAAAAGATGCATGGACAATGGATATTCACTTTTTAGAAATTGAAAAACTGATCAGCGGTAAATTTTGATGTGATAAAATTTCGATTCAAATAATCCGATAGTTGATATTTAAATTTGCAGAATCGCAATATTTTCACGAATGACGGCATTTATTTTCATCTCTTCTTCACTAGGAAGTTCAGACGAGGTCGGGACGTTTCTCTGTGTGCACGAGGTACTGACTATCCGATAGAATCTATCGCCGTACGGTTATTTATTCCGACCTGGTATTGATTTAAAAACCCTGCTACATGTGTAAGTACACATTTAAATAAAAAATGCTGACGTTGACGCGTTCCTTAAAGTTTTTTATTTTTAGAACATAAATTTCTTAAGTGTCAAATGTTTAGGGTTAAAGGCAATAGAAAAACCAAACTAAGGTGGCCAGTCTGGAACATAGCTACCTTTTCTGAGAAGGTGTCTTTAAATAGGATTCGACCCTTCCTTCCAAACATTCCACAGGGCTAAACTTTACCACCTGTAGGATACAAAAAGTTGCACGTTATTGAGAATTCTTGAAGTCGGTGGCTTTATTTTACTTTGTCAAAATTCCTGCCTTTCCTTTCTGACTCCGGAATTCTTTCGTGGTACATTGACCTCGCTGGTGTGCAATTAAATATTGAGATCAGCGCTTTAATTCTCTGAGTTAGTTTGAATTCCTTAACAGATCTACACTCTAACCTAAATCGATAACCCACGGTATAGATGTATGACTCTACCGAGTGGTAATGATTTGGTATTAGATCAATATTACATGGGTAAAGATCTAATACTTCTTAGTATTGCAATTATTACTACAAAGTATAATTTTAATACCGGTTTTATACCAACGTTCAATATCAACGCGGTAGAGTCATATATGTATACCAGTCGGTATTGAATCAATACCAAGAGTGTATTGTAAAGTAATGGTTTTTCTATTTTAAAATTGTGTGACTCCTAATAGAATATGGATTCTGTTGCTGGATTAAAACCACGTTGGCAGTTTGGACATCTATCTTGCGTAAGTGTGTTTTTGATTTTTTTGAAATTTAAAACATTATTTCATTTAAAATAAGAAATTTAAAACATTATTTCATTTAAAATAAGAAATTTAAAAATTAGAATGCACACTGAGAGAAATGTGGTTAGGATTACCACCAGAAAATAGACGCATATGACTCTACCGCTATAATGATAATTTTCTTACCGATTGGTAATAAATTCGTTATCGATTGGTTTCAAAGATAGCCGCCTTGGTTCGAATTATAACCAATCGGCTTATAAAGACGACCAGTGAGTGGTAAATTTATCACCATGGCGGTAGAGTCAAATACTTCTACAAATCCTACACTCAGAAATATTAGTAAGATTTGTAGACATATATGACCCTACCGCCATGGTGATAAATTTACCACCCACTGGTCATTATTATAAGCAGTTTGGTTATAATTGAAACCCAGGCGGCTATGATTGTAACCATTCAGTTACAAATTTATAACCAAGCGGTGATGAAGTTTATCACCATTTCGGTAGAGTCATGTACGTCTAAATCATTGTAAAATGTTAAGCCTATCTATGTGTTGTACTCCCCATACAGTAGCACAGTACATAACCACAGATCTTACTAGACTATCAAATAGTTTAATTCTACTGTCTAAAGTCTTTATCTTACTTCGGTAAAATATTGAAAACAAATTATTCACTCCGGCAGTAGCTTTACTTATAAAATGTTGACATGTCTTACTATAGTCCAAGTTTTCATACAGAGGGACACCCAAATAAGTATACGTATTAACAATATCAATTTCATTATCTTCATCCCACATAAATTTAGGTTTACATATTTTGTGTCGACCACTTCTAAACATCACAATTTTAGTTTTAGACAAGTTAACAATCAAATCATTCTCTTCAAAGAATTTCTTAATAATGCAAATTTTTGAGTTAAGATTGTCAAAGTTTGTGGCGAGTACAACTATATCATCCGCGAATAATAG